GGAGCTGCTGCTGCTGACACCGGCAGCTCAGGGGGGTTTCTGCACACACTTCCACACTGTCCTTGCAACGTGCTATTTACCTTCCCTCTTCCCTGGCTGTGCCCGGATCTTACCTGCGTATCTTAATTCTCATCTGTTTTCGCATAAGATACATTTTAGCCCTGCAGCATTGTGCTGCTATGACAACAGGCTTGCACTTCTGCTGCTTTCACACCCTTGTTTTTCTTGTATTAGGACTCTTCTCCTCATCTTACAGCCCTGCTCTAAAGACATGACTTCATCCTTTATTTTGTTTTCAGAATGCACTGTATGTTCTATTGACTGTCTCCCAATGAGTGTTTTTAGTGCCTGAGCTACCCTGAGAAGGTGGAGACCTACTACCTCCATTGCTAGATGCACAGCTGTGTCCAGGCATTCAGGAGTAGCCAAAAGTTTCTGAAAAAGGGTACTTGTGTTACTCAGGATCGCAACAGACCCAGCTTTCGGCTCCACTGAGCAACCACAACCCACTTCCACCGACTTTGGAAATAATGGTTCAAGTGTGCCATGTTTGCACAACAAAGCAATTGGGAATACCACAGACAAGGGAACGTAGTTATTTCTAAACATGGTTGTTTCCTCCACGAATTTCCTCACACGTACAAAGTAAGTGAGGAAATCCGTGAGGACCGTAGACAGAGCGTGCCAACACATACGTTAACAGGAACAGAATAATTAAGGAGCAGAGAGAGGAAATAAAACCCCAACAAGTATGAGGTCTGCAAGATTCTGAAGCCAAACTGTTTTGTTCTGCAGCAATCAGAAGTTATGAAGTTCTTAAATAAATGTGTCCTTAAACAGAAATACCTGACTTTACTTCATTTGTGAGTACAAATACATATTTAGTCAGTTACCTAGATCAAATAATGACCAGTTTATGAGAGAAGCAATCTATAAGCACTAAAAATCTGTAGTTAGTAAAGGTTTCTTTAAGAAAAAAATCCCTGTCATCTACAGATTTTTATAGAAGCAAACTGCAAATAAAATCCCCTTCAGTAAAGCATGTTACATTTCAATCCCTTTTCATCTTTATGTCTTGATATCTTAAGTGAATTTTTTGCCAAAAAAATATTAGTATTGTGTTACTGTTATAAACACAGTAATGTAAATGGAAGAGAGAATATTTTTCTGCAAAAAAAGGTAAATTTTTAATTAAAAAAAGCCTTTAGTATGGTGCAGTTAACTCACTGTAAAGATACAGGAATAAACAGACTCAAAAGGATCGCTGTCTCAAATTCTAAGTTAGAACATATTTTCTGATGTTCAAAAATCTGTCTAGGTCTGTATTCCCAGTGAGTCTGTATGACTTTAACCTAACAAGTCTCTTGCTGCAAGTGAAAATATCACCATGAAATGGTAGGGGGCCTGTTCCAACACTATTTTTAGGTGGGACTCTAGGTTTTCTTAGATAATTTCTACACACTTTATATAATCATCTGAACCTCTGCATGATGGCCCACACCAAATATCCCAATTATTTTTGCTTTTCTAAGCACTTACTGGAAATACAGGGGTAAAAGCACACTTTCTTCAATTAGGTGTTTTTACCTCTTACCTCTCTCTATCAAAAGACAAATCTTGAGGAAGAAACGTCCTGCACACCAACAGCACAGGATGTCAGTTCCCTGTGCTCAGTTATAGAGCAGGTACTGCAGCAAGTAAAATTTCATTATTGTCCTCCCACGATATCTCAGTCTCAGGATGCATCTCTTCCATATCTGAGATTCTACCAAGGCTTTTTATTGGAACACCTATTCAAGAGCAGAGGTTGAGGATATGTTTAGATTTCTCCCTTCTGCAAATGACTATGGCAGCTGGAAATGCAACGTTGGGATGGCAGGCCTAGAATGGTGTAAGCACTTACAGGGAGCTGTGAGAACTATGGACAGAAATTTACACAAAAATAAGGAATAAAAGAGTACTTGGCATTGTCTCAAAAGCAAAACCACTCTATAAAGCAGTCACACACCTCTCTGGTAATGAAGAGAGACCCTTCATGGAGCAGCTTGTGTGTCCAGCAAGACCTGGGGCTGTCCTGGGAGCAGCCAGCACCGTGCTGGCAGATGTGCGCTGGCAGATGTGCGCTGACAACGGAGCCCTCGGCAGCTCCTGCTCCGGGAACGCTGCCTGAGACCTGGGCTGAGACAATTCAGAGGCTGAGCCCTGCCCAGAATCCCTTCCCAGCCAGCAACAAGGTATCGTGCAGCACTGGCAACAGTGACTTTCTCAGGTTGGTAATGTGCCCACGAGGAACTGCTCTAAGCTAACGAGAGTGTTAGAGATGTCACCACAAGAGTAATTTCATTGAATGATGATTTGATTTGGATGTTAGACTGATCAGCTTTTGACAGTACCGTCTATGTTTCAGTTTCAACTACTCGGAGCCCAAAACTTTGTATCCCTTTACTAAGGGACAGTAAGACAAGCTGACTTCTCCCTCTGCCTAAACCAGGGAAAATCTCCTTTCCTTGGCACATGACTAGGGAAGCTGTAGTTGCTCAAGGCTCATTCTTTTCCCTCTTTGGCAGATAAAGTGGGATATGGCAGGTAAGAAAACCAACAAGATGTGCTCCAAGAGCAGCCAGTATCTGCCTGGAGCAACCACTCTCCTGTGCCTCCCATCCTTCTGCTTGTGGGTGGAGATGCAGCAACAGCCATGTGGGAGGAGCCAGCGACCAACCTGACATTTATTCTAAAGCAAAACCTCTCCCTTGGGGAGGTCATCCTCCAGAAAAGGAAAGATAAGCAAAAGCTGCCGTGTAGGTTCTCTGCCCTGACTGTGCTTACACGGCAGCTTCAAAAATGTGAGTGGGATTTACTCTGTGGTTTCACCCAGGACACTTATTTACAAGCACAGTCCTTTGAGTTGGTTGGCTCCGGACTGCAGCTGGGGATGCCTTTGCTCCCTTCTCCCTTTCATGCAACTCAATGTGTATAAGAAAACCTGGATGGCCACCTTTTTACTTCTCCTTCTCTTGGTGGGCTCTGTTAACACAAGATGATGTAGCCCTGCATCACCACAGATACAACAATATTGGGAGCTAGGAGCCCTCCCTCTTGTTTTGCTGCTCTTTGGCCCATGGGGCCAGACCATGCACAAGGTTGGACAGGCAGCAGCCTGAGCCTGCCTCTGCTCACAAAGAGAAGCGTAATCAGGACAAAGAACTTAATCCATTCTGCAAAAAGCATATTGGAATTAACTAGATAAGTAAAGAGTTGGAAATAATGCATCAGATATGCCTGACAATGTCTAAACAATCAAATGGCAATCGTGTTCATTATCTCACTAAAGGAAAAATAATAATTTTTTTGTGAATTCTGTCTATTAAAAATGAGGCTGTGTTAAACACTGACAGAACTTTCTAAGTTATACTTCTTTTGCTGACGTGATAAATCTTATGCAGAAGTTTGCCTGCAGAAAGATTGAGTATCATTTATTTGTGTCACTCTGCTATTGATAAAACTACAGATCTCCAGAGAAAGCAGCAGAGAGAAAAAATCCATTATCATTATTATCCTATGACTGAGTAAATGTGCACATACTGGATGCAAATGCAATTCACAGTGCAAGAAAATGAAGGAATGAAAATAATTTCTCTGGAGTTTTCTCATTCGCCAGTAACATTACTGTACTTAGTGAGTCGACACTCATTAAATGTTTGCTCATTATTGTTGGGTAATATGTCAAAAGGAAAACAGAAAATACTGAGTGGCTGTGTACCACAGATCTGTATGTGCCTACAGTGGAAATGAAATATAAATAAATTCACTGTAACAGTTATTTCATTGTTTAGTAAAGACGGAGGTCTCCCTGAAGTCTCTTACAATAGGTGTTCGCATCTGTTCTTTTCATTTTAGAAGAGACATTCCTTGAAGCGATTATGAAGAATTAACATGGGCTTTTATATGGGCTGACAGTTTGACATTCGGGGAAAAATAAAAAAAGCAATGCTGAAATCTTTTGGGCTTTCACAAGGCAACAGCAAAAATGTGCAGGATTGAGCTAGCCACACCTCTGGTTATTTCCAAATGTTCCTCTCCTTTTTCTTGAGTGAACTTGACCCTCTTAACACTCAAGTTTTTACCTCTATCATCCTTGTTTTTTTTCCCCAGGATTGTTCAAAACTACTGAGGTACAAACTAGAGTACCGGCTTCAAGAAATGCAGGTTTCTGACATGTTATGATATACAGTACGGTGAGATGTCCTGTCAGACTGTGACTCGCACACTCTGTGCTGCTCAAGTGGGAAGATGCTGCCCGCTCTAACTTGAACCGGCAGCACAGGCTGCACCATGCCCGCAGTCTATAGCTGGGCTGGATTTTCTCTTCATCTTTGAAACCGGTGGTGGTGGGCTGGGAGTGGAGGGGAAAAAAGCCACTACCCACTAAAAATAAGCTGCTGAGTTATGTCATTTGCCTTGATGAGCAGTGAGAAGGTTTTGTGCTACCCCTCCCCATGCAGAAGTGCAGTCCAGACACAGCGGCAGCCCCCAAACCCATTGTCGGCAGCCTGATAGACTGGTACCTAACTGTTTTTGAAGTTTGAGTTTATCAAAGCCCGAGACGCCTTAATTCGAGAGTACAACTGCCACGCGAGTAGAGAGATACCGAAAAAATTATTTAAGCAAGCCAGACTGTCCTTCTCGCTCGTTCAAAGCAAATAAAAGCAAAAGGGGGCAAAGGAAAAAAATAGGGGGGGGGAAAAAAAGAGACGGGAGAGAGCGGAACCCGCGGCGCTGGCGGGGAGCGCGGTGCCGGCTCCCCGCGGCGGGCTGGCGTCCCAACTGTTGCAGGGAGGTGACCGGGGAGCTGCGGTGGCAGCGCCCGTGCCGGGCGGGCAGAGCACGGCATGCGCGGGTGGGTCCGTGCCGGCGGGCAGGTGCGGGGAGCGCGGCGGGATGCGGGGCGCCGGGCCAGGCGGGGTGGCGATGCTCGGGGCCGGGGGATCCGCCGGGGTTACCTTGAGGATGAGATCGGTGTGGTGCTGGTCCAGCATGTTGGCCTTGCGGAAGGAGGTGATGATCACCCGGCCGTACCTCCCAGGCGTCTGCAGGTCGGAGTAGAGCCGGTGCTTGGAGCGGTTCACCGGGAAGAGGCTGTCCACCAGGTTCCTCTCGATCTTGGCCAAGCTGTGCGTGGGGGCCAGGAGGTGCTCCACGCTCTCCTCCACCTGGTAGCGGCTGAAGCTGGCGCCCAGCAGGATGGAGATGAGCACGGGCGCCGAGGCGAAGAACACCGGGTGGCTGGCGACGAAGTGGCCGAGCCGGGAGAAGGACGTCCCCAGCCCCCTGTGCAAGACCTGCCGCAACATCCTAGTGCGGAGGGCGCGCAGGAGAGCGAGCGCCGCGCCGGGGCCCCCGCAGCTCCCCCACGGCCCCCGCAAGACCATGGGGCAGCCCCGCCGGGCGCCGCCTTCCCGCCGGCCGCGGCTGCGGGGGGCCGGGGGCCGCCGCCGCGCGTGTGCGTGTGTGTGCGGAGTGTGTGCGCGCCCGCCCGCCCGTGTGCGTGCGCGGGGCTGCTCGGGCGCTCGTCCTCCCGCAACGCCGCCGTGCCCGAGAGGAGTTTCCCAGCCCCTCGGTGCCTGACTTCCCAACCCGCCGCCCCTCTCCGCGGAGCGGCGGCGTGGACCGCCGGGGGGCGTGGGGGGGGGGCAGCCCCGCCGCCGCCCCGCCGCGGGAAGGGGAAGGGGCAAGCGCCGCTCCCCGCCCCCGCCGCGGAGTTTGCGCGGGAGCGGGGCTGCCCGCAGACTGCTGACTAATCCCCCGGCCGCGGCAGGCGAGGCGAGGCGGGGCGGGCGAGCAGAGCCCTCCGCGGCGCCCCCGCCGCCGCCGCCCTCGGGGCGGGGGGGCGGGGCGGGGGGGGGCGGGGTCGGGGTGGGGGGGGCGGGGGCGGGGCTGCGGCTGGGGCCGGGGGCGCGCGGGCGGCGGTCGGGCTGGGGCGGCGGGGGCGGGCCCGGCCGGGCCCGGCCGCGGCCGCCGGCGCCGGGGGCGCGGGCACGGGGAGGAGGGGGGGCTGGGGGTGGCCGCGGCGGGGGGGGGGGGGGGGGGGGGCGGGGCGCGGCCGGTGGCGGTGGGGGTTGGGTTTGTTTGTTTTTCGTGTTTGTTTTTGTTGCGGGGCGTCGGCGTCGTGCGGGTGCTTGCTCTTGCTGCGGGGGCGGGGGGGGTTGGGGTTTGGGGGTGGGCGCGGGCGGGGGTCGCGGTGCCGGGGTACGGCTGCGGCGGCGGCAGCGGGGGGGGGGCGTGGCCGTGGGCGCCGGGCGGGCGGGGTGGGCGTGTGCGTGTGCGGGCGCTGCCCATTCGGGTTAGGGGGTGCGGGTGGCGGGGGTGTGGCTGTCCGTTTCCGTTTCTCGGTCTCCGTGGCGTTGTCTTCGTCTCCGGCGCGGGCTGGGGTTGCCGTGGCCGTTGCGGGTGGGGGGGGCCCGGGCCGCTGCTGCTGGTGCCGGGCCGTGCCCGTGGCGGGGTGGCGCTGCCGTTCGCGTCAGCGCGTGCCCGTGGTGGTGTTTGTGTGTGGGTGGTGGCGGTGTGTGTGTGTGTGTCGGTCGTGCCCGTCGGCTGCGGTTGGGGTTCGGGGGCTCGTTTTTGTTTTTGAATTGTATTTCTATCTCAGTGGTGGTGATGATTGCTCTTGCTGTTGGTGTTTTTGTGTTTGGTCGTGCTGTTGTTTTTCTCTGGCTGGTGCTGCTGCTTCGCAATGTATTGGTATTGGTAGTGGGGTTCCTGTTCCTGCCGCTGCTTTTGCTTTTCCAAGTCCAGGAAGTTTCTGTTTGTGTTTTGTTTCTTTTTCTTGTGCTTCTGCCTGCAGTGGCTGTGTGTTTTTGTTTTTGTTGTTGTTGGGGTGATCGTCCTTTTTCCTTTTCCGTCTTCTTAGTTTGGCTTATGTTTGTGTTTGTCACTTCCTGTTCATGCTCTTGATCTTGTTCTTGTTTCTTTTTCGTTTGGTCTCGGTGCTTGAGTTTTAATTTTTTCTTCTTTTTCTGTTTTACTTTTGTGGTGGTGTGCGTGTCTTTGTTTTGCTTGGGCATGGTCGGTGTCGTTCCAGTCTCTCCTTGTTCTTGTTGTTTTGGTTTTCCTGTGCCGAGGACTTGTCCTTGTGGGATCTGGCTCTGTGTTTGTTGTCGGTGCAGCTGGAGTTCGCGTTCCCGGTCTGGTGGTGTTTGTGTTTGTATTGTGCTTGTTTTTGTTTTTGGTTCCACTGCGGTGGGTTTGGGTTGCTTGTGTTTGTCTTAGTTCTGTTTATGTTTGAGAATTTAATTTTAATTTGTTTTTATTTTTGTTTCTGTTTTGGAGGTGGACAGAGAAGCAGAGGCATGGGCGTGGGCTAGGCCTAGGTTTAGGTTTCTGTTCCTTTTTAGTTTTGGGTTCGGCGTCCGGGTCTCTTTTTTTTGTGTCCCGGTCTTTCCCTTTCCTGTCCGTGCCTGTGCCTGTATCTGGATCTGGGCTTAGTCTTCTTCTTGTTTTTGGGTGTCGGGTTGGGATTTGGCTGTTGCTCTTGCTCTTTATCATTAGGTACAGGTCTTTTGTTTTTGTTGTTGGTGGTGTCATTTTTGTTTGTTTTTTTTTTTTTTGGGTTTCCGCTATTTTTTTTTTATTATTATTGAAGGTGGATTGTTATTTTTTTTTGTTTCCGTCCCGTTGCCGTTTCCCATTTCTCGTTGTTCTGTGTGTCTCAGTAGTTTTAGTTTTGGGATTTAGTTCTGTTGTCGTTCTCTTCATTTTGGTTTTGGTTTAGGTGTCGGTGGGCCGAGTCAGAGTGTCATTTTCGTTTGTTGTCCTTGACCCTTACCATTATCTATCTGTTTTTGTTTTTGCATGGGGGTAGAGGCTGATGCTTCTGCATTTGTGCTTGTTGTTGCTGTTTCTTTGTCTTGCCGTGTCAGTTTTAGTTTTTGTTGTTGTTGTTACCATTGCCCTTTTAGTTTTAGTTGCAGTGGTGTTTTTGTCTTTCCAGTGATAGTTTTCGGTTTCCCGCCCTTCTTGTTCTTGGGTTTGGCTTTGGGCCTTGGCCTTGCTTTGCCTTTGGGTTTGGGGTTGGGGGCGGGGGATGGAGGTGGCGTGGGGGTGGTTGAGCTTGAGCTGGGGTTTGTGTGTTTGTGCTGGAGTTGGTCTGTTTCCATTCCACTGGCACCCTGTGGCTGTTTCTGTTTCCGAGGGGGAGGGTGCATCTTCCTGCTTCTGCCTGTGGTGGTTGTCCTTGTTCTTGTTCCTGATTGTTCTTGTTCTGGTACTCTTGCCATTGCCATGCCTTTTGTTTGTGTGTGGTTGTGGTTGTTGGGAGTGGTGGAGGTGTCGGCCTGCTCTCTGTGTCTGTGAAAGCCCAGTGCGCTTTGGTTTTTGTTTTTGTTGTAGGGTGGCGGTGGGTGCCCGTGCGCGAGCGGTGGGCGTTAGCCTTCTCTTGCTCTGTTTTTGTTTTGGATGGAAGTGTAGGGTTTGTATTTCTTTCGTGTGCGTGTGTGCTTCTGCTCTGGCTGTGGCTTTCGCTTTTCGATATTGATGTTTCTTTGTTCTTGCTCGTTTGCGTTTTCAATTTAGATTGAGTGATGGTGATGGGTGGCGGTGCCCTTAGGTTGAGGTGCTGGTGCTGGGGATAGTGATGGTGGGGGGGTATGATTATGTTTTTTTCCTTTCAACGCCTCCGGGTCGGTGTTTTTGGTTTTGGGGTCTGAGTGTGAGATGGGGATGATGTGGCTGTGGGTCAGCGTCTGCATCTGGTTCGAGTTTGCTTTTGCTCTCAGGTGTGTGTGTTTGTGCTGGTTTGTTTTTTTTGAGTTTCCTGTCCCTTGACTGTGTTTGCCTTTACTCATACTCTGTCGCTGTCAAGGCTGTCCTTTTGATTTGGATTAGGTTGTGGTGCTGTTGCCATTTCCTGGTCGTGCTTGGTGTTTTTGGGTTCCCGCCAGCCCCGGCTGAGTTTGACTTGCAGACCTGTGGCTTTTGCTTCTGTTTTGTTCTTGTTTTTTTGTTTTAATGCTAGTGGAAGAGGTTGACGTTGTTTTGTTTTTGTTTACTTTTTTTTGTTTCTTCTCCGTCCGTGGTCGTGTTCCAGTGAAAGCTGAGAGTGGTGGTGGTGGTGGAGGTTCCTGTTGCTTATGTTTAGCTTCGTGTTGGTGGTGTGGGGGTAGGGGAAGGTGTCGGTGTCAGGTGGGGTTGGTGTGGGTGTTGTGGGTATGCTGAGGATTTTGCTTTTTTTTTTTTTGGTTGGGGATGCGGAGCCGCTGTTTTTGTTTTATGTGCATGTGCTGTGGTTCTGTTGCTGTGGGTTGTTTTTTTTTTTTGGGCCCTGGGCCTGGTGTGATTGTGGTTCCGGTTGGAGTTTGGGGTTGGTGAGCTTGCGCTTAGTGAGGGTGTGGGTATGGGTGACTTTTTTTTTTTTTTTTAACTGGAACTCAAAATTTCAATTTCAGTTTAATTTTTATGGTTTGGGGTTGTTTTTTTTTTTTTATTGGTTTTGGTTTTGTTATTTTTATTTGTTGAGGGTGTTGGTCTTGCTATTGACATGGCCCGTGCTTTTTGTTTGTGGTTCGGGTTCACGTGTAGCTGTTGCCGGTTGGGTGTGGCTGGGGGTAGCTGTCGTTGTCTTTGCATCCCCGCTCTGGTTGTTCTTTCTTTTTCTTGGGTTTGGGTCTTGGGCCTGTGCCAATTCCATTTGTGTTGGTGCGGGCACGGTTAATGTTAATGTTAATGTTCCTTTGCTGTTTGTTGTTGGTTCGTGATCCTTTGCACTTTTTGTTTTTTTGCATTTGCCATTAACGTGCAGGTGTAGGAGTCGTCGTCGTTCTTTTTATTTCCGGTTCCGTTTCTGTCGGTGTATTATTCTTATGTATCAGTCTTTTTGTTTTTGTTTGTTTGTGTTGTCCTTGTCGGATGGGGATTTTCTTTTTTTTATATGGGCTTTGTCTTTGTAGCCTTGAGCTTTTGAAATTTGGTGTTGGTGTCTTTGGTTTTTTTTCTTTCTTTTGTGTCAGTTCACTTTCCTTTTTCTTTTTCTTCTTCTCCCTTTCTTTTTGTTTTGGCTGGGGCTTGTGGGTTTGTGGTCATGGGCAGCATGATCATGGTTTGAGCTTCCGCACCCTCAGGTTACTTTTTCTTTTTCAATTAGAGTCAGAGGAAGTGGAGTTGAGGTAGAGGGCCGCATTAGCATTTGTGTCTTTGTTTTCTCTCTTTGTCCTTTTGGTTTTGGTTGTTGGGGCTGTGTCTGTCTCATGTGCCTTTTTCTTCTTGCCTCCGCCTCCGGACGGGGTAGGCTTCCCCTGGCTGGGGATGGCTTTTTCTTTTTGCGTCTGCATCTTTCGTTTTTATTGTTCGAGTTGGCTGTTTTTTTTTTTTTCTGTCC